TAAAATAATTTTTAAATGTATTTCATGGATAAATGTGAATATAAATAATAACAAAAAATCGTCTTGGAGTTCTCACTCCCAATAAATTCAAAAAGAGCAAAACTGGAGATGTAGAGAAGGGGCAAATTAGAGTTGGTAAAAATTTTGAAACAACATTTAACGTTCTAACGGAAGATTGCCTTCACCAATCACCACCCATTCACCACAACTCTTTTTGCCCAATGTGATAAGGCGCTTTTTCACCACAAGTCAAATAGCCGGCGCGGGGCGCGGGGCGCGGGGCGCCGGGGGGGGGGGGCGCCGGGGGGGGGGGGGGGGGGGGGAAGAGTTGATCCAATTATCCAAACGAAACCCACATTTCACACTTTTCGAAGTATATCTTACATTCAAAACGTGAATCCAAACGATGTCGTAACACCGCCTCAGCACAATTTCCTCCCTAAAGATTCCCGAAAATCTTTTAATATATAAAAGAAATTGAGGTGAAAGTTAATGAACTTCATGTGTTGGATTCATGAACAAGAGAGTCAAATAGAAGTATAACTAAATGCAAAAGTCTCAAACTAAAACGCAAGTGATAATGCAATTAAAATGCCAATCTAAAATATACGTGACAGTAGTTTTATAACCTAATGACATGATGCGTGAAAAGTTGGATTGAAATTTTCACGCTGGTAAAAAAAGAAGAAGAAATTTTAACATTTGTCCATTACTGCTAAATTCTTTCTTGCATCTCTCTTCTTGAATTTTGCCTCCTACTGCAGCACATCATATTATTTATTTCATTGCTCATATATACTTGTGAGGTTTTGATCGAAAATCCCACCTCATTCATTCAGTCTTCATCGGAGTTTTAGAAGCCATATTTGATTTCCCACTAGTTCTATGATGACAAATTACAAACCCATCCACTGAAACTAATATTATGGTTGATTTTTTATATAAGAGTTAGTTGACTGATTTAAGTAGATTTAGTTGACTGATTTAAGTACATTAAAAAAGTTTGTTAAATTAGTTATTTATAATAGATAGGCGTTACTTCCCTAGAATACCATTGTTAATACTAACATGTATTAGTTAGAACTATCATTTAATGAAACTTTTAACATGTGCTGCTACTCCAATTATTATTTTCTTAAAAAAAAAGATAAATATAAGAGATAAAATAGATTGAGAACTTATATCTAAAACTAAATTAAATGTCAAACTGACATTTCTATTAAGGATGAGAAGTAGCATATGGATCCATCAATGATGAAGTTGCTTCAAAAATGATGGAAATTAAATCATTTCTACCGCTAGTCATCAAGATGCATCTTTAACAAAATCAAAGTCATAAAAACATGCAGAATCAAACATTGTAAAATTTAGGGGGTATCATTCACCATCTATCTTGCCATCTTTCCTTAATAAAGTTAAGTAAACATGAAGAGGGAGAAGAGGAAGTAGAGCTTTGAATAAATTCATAGGAGAGGTGACATGGTTGGACCCCCAAAAAATTGTTTGGAGCCCTTAAGTTTGAATATGAAGGAAGGAGGAAGTAGATATTGACCCTAAAAATGAAGTCAAATGTAGATATTGACCTTGAAAATGAAGTCAAACACATATGAGAAATCAGAAAAGAGAAGAAGTAATAGTAATCAAAAGAAGATGAGGGCAGAAAAAATACTACTTTTGGTCATTCATATAAGGTTAGACAACTAATTCGTGAATATTATAAAAAATTAGTTAAAATAGTTATTTGTAATAAATAACTGTCATCTTTTCTAAAATATCCTTTTTAATCATGTATATTGAGAGAGTTCTTTTAATCATCATAATGACTACTTGGATACAAGAGATAAGATTGATTGTGGTCTTATATTTAAGAGCAAATTGAATTTCTAGCTAATTCTTATATTAAGGATCAGAAATAGTATATATATACACCAATGGTGAAGATTAATGGCAATGGTAGTATTGAAGTTTTGGATAGGGATATTATTGATGAAATTAAATGAATTCTTCGAAGGGATTTGGGAGGTTGATATGATTCTCGTTGCAAGAAAGAAACCCTAAACCCTGAAAAGCATTATTCATTGTGGTTTTTAGCATGTACTACTCTAGAGATGAAGATCTAGGAAAGCAAAATGGTGACAGGAATGAAGCATGAGCTTTGATTGGAAAACAAAACAACAAAAGATGAGCTATAACAAAGAAAAGAAAACACAGCATCTTTGTAATAATAACTAATACATGATGGGAAATATGTGAGAAAGAATTAAAGAAACAAAGTTGTCAACTTTTTTGTTTATCCTCCTCTATAGTTTAAAAAAAAAAACACAACACATAACACATAGAGAGAGCTTGAACTCACCCCTACCATTCTAGTGAGTTTGATGGCTTAAAAAGGTTGATGGTTACCAAACCAACAAACTTATTTAGGGATTGTTTGGCTCATTTCAAAAGCACTTTTTAAAAGTATTTTTATAAAAATTGAGACTTCCACATATTTATTTTATATACCGTAAAATCATGATTTAATTTTTCTCTAAATACTTGCTTAAACATATAATGCAAAATAGGCATGTAACAATCATAAATCTCTACTTTGCATTTTAATTCACTTAAGTGTAGTTATAAATTTCTTTGCGTTATTGTAGATTTTTTCATTGTTGTAGTAAATTAGGTGAAAATATGAGAAATGAGATTTTCTGATGTGTTGCAATTTGTAAATTTGTTATTTGCAGTTGTAAACAATTCTTCAGTAATCAGAGTTTTGCTCAGTGGCTGGGGGTCGCAATTCTGGCGAATGGCAATGGTTGAAATTTTTATAAAGAAAAAATGTAAGGGGACCAATATATTTTTACTCACAAAATTTAATTTTATTTTTGTCAAATTTCAGAATTTATGGAGGCAGATGAAAATTAACCGGCTATAAAGGGGATGCGGTGAAATTCTCTCACGTCTCTTAACTCTCTGCCATCAATGTCAAATATTTTTAATTTAATCTTTCTTCTGATGAGGCGCGAATTATCGGCCAGGGCATTTCTAGCGCCGCAACAAAATTCTGCCGTCGTAGAGCACTGTACTCAACGTAAAGCTGAACTGAACGAAATAAGTAGGCCCCAAGATCTCTCTCTGTAATATCCTAAAAAAAAAAAAAGTAATTGAAAAATAAAATAATATAAGATAATATAATATAATATAATAATATTATTTAAAAAAAAAAAGTCAACTTTCCACCGAAATTGGTGGAAAGTTGGGGAAGGGGGCGGTGGAAAGTTGGGGGTTGGGTTGAAAAACCCCTCCCCCCAATAAATGAGCAGGGGTGTTAAATACACCCCCAACAATTCATTCTTTCCCCCACGGCAGGCGCAAGAGAGAGAGAGAGAAGAAGAAAAGAGAGAAAGAGAGGGCCGAAGTGTGTGAGCGAGAGAATCATACCGGTGAAGCAGAGGGCAAGCTTTGAAGATATTTTAGGTACATGAAATTATCTCTTTTCATCAAACTTTCTTCATAAATATTTCTATATATTTTATGCTTCCTAATAGCAGTATTACCATAGTGATTAGAGAAAATTTTGAGACTTATATATAATCTAAGTATTGAGTTTTTACAAAAGATGACTATAGAAATTTAGAAGTAAATGAGTTGTTAATTTTAATCGGTTTAGATTTCTCGATTTGTTGGTTTTTAGTATTTAAATAAATTTTTTCTAGTTGAAAAATCTGTTATATATGATTTATATTATATTTTTACCGATTAAATTTAAGTTAAATAATTTATTTGGATTGTTTGATATATTATTGAGATTTTAATCGGTTTGGATTGGTCCATTTGTTGGTTTTAGTGCTTAAATGGATTTTTCTAGTTGAAAAATATGTGATATATGATTTATATCATATTTTACCGATTAAAATTAAGTTGAATAATTTAATTGAGGTGTTTAACATATTATTAAAATTTTAATCGGTTTATTTTTATTTATTGGGTGACTGGAGGTTTTAAAATAATTATTGTAGCTAAAAAGTTTATTATTTATGAAAATATATATATGGTAGTTATACCATTAAAGTTTTGATTAGATTATTTATTTATAAATATTTGAAATATTATTGAATTTTTGATAGTTTGATTTTGAGGTTTAAACTTAAATGAGGATTTTTAGAGTTTATAAAATAATAATTTTATATTTAGAAATTGTTGAAAATCCTTTTTATTAAGGTAAATAATGTGGAGGTGGTAAATAAATAATTTGGGGTTGTTAGAAATTTTAAATTGTTGCTAAAATACTTAATAATTTTTGGGTTATGAGAGTTGCGAGAATTTAGAGTAAAAATTTAAATAATATAGAGAAGTTTAATTAATTAATTAATTAGTTTATATTAATATGTGGTTATATTAATTGTGTAGATTAATTATTGGTTGAGCAAAGGATTGACCTTGTGGTAATCCTTAGTATTGCTTTGGCGAGAGGTAACCACTTTCCACTTGTTATATATTGCCACATAGGGCTCATCTACTATCATGATGTAAAATAATACTTTTAATTACTACTATCTGGTATGATAGGGCCGTGAGGAGGTCCGAGACATTTTAGACTTTGCGTATTACACTGATTTGATAGTGTTGATTTTTCACTAATGGGCTCTATGACTTATATTAAAATGTTTTATCAGTTCGTGTGTTTAAAAGTTTAAGTTTGGTTTGGGCTAACGGTTGAATGATATTTCTGGACTTTGAAAGTCTAAGGCCCAAGTGAACGATTGATGTGGCTCGTAATATAAGTTTATTTCTTTTAACCATGATAGCGATTTTAAAATTTTAAGGTTTCTTCTTTTCTATCATGGTTAATCATTCAAATAAATTGTTGGATTTAATCTAAAATGGTTTTGAAAGAGCGGTTGTCACACTCTCGACTTCTCTTCGCCACAAATATATTCCCCGAAAATGCAGAGCCTCAACTCTGAAATCTCTTGACAGAGAGATCCAACTGGGGTTCTTTGATGCTTCTTTTTCCATGGCTCTCCTCACTTTCCCCCATTTTCCTTCGCTTTCCTTCTTGCCGAACGCTCGGTCCTTTTCTCCTACTCAGTGCTATTGCTCCTTGTCAAGGATAAGAATGACGGCAAGTGGCAATAGAGATCACAATGGTACAGCCATTCTTTGGTTCAAGCACGACCTCCGTGTTGATGATCACCCAGGCCTTGTTGCAATGTCTAAGTTTCGGGCATTGGTTCCTATTTACATCTTCGATCGCCGAATTCTTTCCCGTGAGCGTGGTTTTTACATTCATTTCAGACTATTCTATTATGTGACGTTGTGTCAAAGTATCCTGGTTTTCTATTGGTCCCACTGATCTTGGTATGGGCCTTGAGTGTGGTAGCTAGTGCTGAGTATGATTGAAGTGAACTAATGGAACCTGAAACACTTTTCATTGGATTAAAGTTAATAGGGGTTCTTATCAGGGATTAATGTATAGTTGTCGGAAGTTTAAGTCTTAAGTTTAGTTATTTTTAGTGATAAAGACGTTATTGCAAGATCTAAATAATTCTTGGAAGATTTTGTTTGATCATTTTGGTGAAGTATGATCAGATATAAATGAAGCAGGATTAACTGCAATGATTAACACTTTAGAGGAGCCTATGCGCACTATGAGCAATTCGAACATTGAGAGATGGAAATACAACTTTTGAGATTCTAAGAGATGATAAATATAAGCAGGATAAGAATTCTAAGTGCTGCATTGACATAATTTTATTATAATATACGTGCAGCTCTATTTATTCATTTAGTTATTTTGAAACAATTTATTTAGTGTTTTCCAAGTTGCTAGGTTGTAGGATGGATTAGTGGTTTGCTATTAACCTAAAAGTCCCCTTGTGATCTGATGCATTCCGTTGGAGGTCATACAAGAAATTGTTTTAAATTCATCGCTCTGCAGCTTGTTTGGGAAAAAGAAGATTCAGATATTATTGGATATCTGCCAATTAATTCTAATCGCTCACAGTATTGTTGATTAGTATGATTAATCTATAATGGTGTTATTGAGCATACAATTAAATCCTCTTTTTTTTTTCCTGGTCAGTTGTATTATGCTGTCTTCAGTACAAAATGACAATTGCTTGCTTAAAGTTAACAAATAAAATATGTTGATCTAAAATAACTATGCAGGTTTTTCTGATGAAGTATTAGAAATGGTTTTGTTTGCCGTGAAAGACCTAAAGAAGTCATTGAAGGAGCAGGGCTCTGATCTGATGATCAAGTTTGGCAATGCTGAGAGTGTTATGTAAGAACTTGCAAGAGAGGTTGTTGAATTTTTAGTTTGATTTATGATCCAGGCAAAAGGAGAACTCAAGGACTCATCAGTTCCTTTTGTAATTCATAACCGAGGATGGAACAGGTGAAAGCTACTTCTATATTTTTGGAAGAAGAGGTAGAGTATGAACTATGCTTAATGGTGGATGTTGTCAAAGAGCAGTTGAAGTCCATGACAATTTTAGAGGGTAGCTTGAGGTTTGAAATGTGGCAAACTCCATTTTATGACATAAAGGTAATTTTTATTTATCTTTGCCTTTTTCCTTGGCATGATTGCTTGTTTGAAATGTTGAGTTGATTTTGGTATATAATTTAGTCATATTTAATTGTTTCTCAGAGCTTGTAAAATCTTCCTTCATCATATGATAACTTCATGAAACTCCAATTACCTATAACAACACCAATACAGCTTTTAAAGTTGCCTACAGTTGAAATGGAACTGAACTGGGGTAAGTTTGTTGTGGACTTCTCTTTCAATGATTTTAGTTCCTTATATTCTTCTTTTGTATGATTAAACTACAATGTTATATAATTAACCTTTTTCCTGACTTGCATACTTTCCTTCCTTTTATTGTGTGGCCTAACTTTTGTGACTATTGTTCATTACGTTAGGTCCTCTTCCCTCATATGATGATATAAAGGAATTTATGGGTATCAATGCAAAAAAGTTTAAAAAGAATTGGACTCAAATCAAGGAGACATCTGTTGAAAATTTATTACAGAGGAGGGAGTTAATGACTAGCCATAGAAGTGAAAGAAGCTCAAGTTCCCAAGACACGAAAGCAAGGACAGTACATCAATCGGTTTTTGTCACTCAGAAAGGGAATGTTGTAGGCGGTAGAACAAACAATGTACTAAATGCATTGGCTGCATATTTGCGATATTTGGAGGGGACAGCTCGGGATGACTGGCAAGAGTATGTAGTGACTAGCACTTGAAATATCTTTCAATAGATGTCTTTGAGTTTTGAGTTTTGGACTGGAGGGGAAGTAAAATTCAGAAGCGCATCTTGTGCTTTTATTGAAATTGTAAGTATGATGTCTATAGAGTCTAGACCATCCTCTACACACATTCAGTCTCTTTTTAGCCCAAGAATTTGAAGTTATGTTTGGTATTCTGTTTCATATCTTCCCTGCTGCCAATCTGTTTTCCTTAATTTTGTATGCTATGCAATCATCCTTTCCTCCAAAGTGACATCAATAATCCATCCCATGGACAATTGCAGTTGTGCTTGCTTGAATTGTCCCTAAAGCTCACCAATCCCAAAATCCTATTCCCTCTTGTCCTGACAAGTCACAAAACCCAAACCACCACTGAGTTGACCCTAAGTCTATCTAGCCTGCACACTGCTCTTTCTTGTCATAGACTCAGTAAACCTTTACACCACCTGAGGTAAACCCCTTGATTATGTTGTATATTAGTAATATTATTAACAGAATAAGTCAGGGGTAGTTGTAAGCAGCACTGAGCTTTGGTTAGCATAACAGAATAAGGGGTAGTTGCAAGAGTTAGTTGGCAATTAGCTAACAGAGTCATTGTGCTGCCTATAAATAGATGTAAACACCTACTTGTAACTCAGATTATGACGTGAATGAATCACAGTGCCCTGTTCTAATTTCTCTCAACCCGTCCCTGTTCTTTCTTTACCCTCTCAACCCTCTCTTCTTTTCTGTCTTCCTCTCTTTGCCTCTTCTCTTCTCTCTTTCTCTCTCCTGTCAGAATTACAATCCTAGAATAGATTCACCCTTGAAATTCTGATTTTCAGTCTACAAACCCCTAACTCGGTTGTTATCCTGCATCGCACTTTAAATTTTGCCTCTCCCCAAATTGCCATCGGACAGAATCTTGTGGAAACTGGATTGCAGTTTCTTGTATTTGTAAAATTCAATTTCCTAAGTTGCCAACCAAATATACTTATGGTATGTGTTTTTCTTTCTAATTTTCATGTATATTTTTATGGAAGTGTTACTGTATTGAAATAAAGAACCTGCACTGTTGGTCTCATTATTTTCATTTACATTCTTTCAATCACCTGTTTTCATATGTTCATTAGTCATTTTCACCTCTCTTTTATTGTGGTCCACACCTGTGTGTAATTGGATGTGGATTTTTATTCTGACTTTGTAGCATTGCCAAAGTTTGTGTGAAGTGTTCCAAAGCTGACGAATCTTATTCAGAATTTTCATGTTAAGTGTTAGCTCTTTTAACAAAAACAGGAGACATTTATTCTTTTCTTTGTATTACGTAATGTATGAATTTTTTTTCCGGTTATGCTGAGATTTTAAAGAACTTTAGTCAAAGCGAAATTTTTTCAAATAAAAATTATTGCATATTATAAATTGTAATTATTCATTAATTAAGATCTCCTTCTTAATAGCTTACGAAAGAGTTGGTTTGGACGTAGTACAATGGCATCATGTGATGCATATTGTCAACCCTACTTAATGGCATAAAGCTTTGGTTGTTGTCATTGCTCTTTATAAATTTTTCTTTAAACTTAATTTGTATAGGGTACATGAAAAAGTACATGCTGTCGAAAGTCGTGACAGAGCATCATTCATAGGACTCTTCAGTGCTGCCCTATGTCTTGGCATTATATCCAGAAGAAGAGTGCATTTTGAAGCTATCAAATATGAGAAAGAGTGAAATGCAAGATTTTTATCTCCTTTTGGATATTCAGCAGCCACAATTGTAGCAGCGGTTGATGCTGTGTGTTCAATGGAGGTGCTAATTTTTATTGGTTCTCTCTCGCTTTCTGTCTTTCTTTGGATAAATTAATCATTCTTATACACTAATTGTTATGTCGGGATGTTTTCCTTGAAATTTGAATTTACGCAATAAGAGAATGAAATGTTTTCTTATTTCCTTTTAGTGTCAGTGGTATTGGCTTATAGCTTTGAGAAGTCAGGTAAATAGTGATGGGATGCACTCAAGGCGGTTATGGAGATGGAATGGTTACCTTATTCAGGTTCACAATTTTGAGTTCACTAATTTCTTTATTTTCTTGTTCAAGTGAGTAAAGCATTTGAAATTCTTGGTGTACCTTAAATATGGATACATTAGGTTCAATGTTGTTTTCTCTGTTTTATTAGTATACAGTTGCAGGTGAAGAAGGTCCTGCTGTTCTCCTTGTTCATGGTTTTGGTGCTTTCTGGGAGCATTACCGTGACAATATAAATGTTATAGCTGGCACTGGAAATCGAGTATGGGCAATAACATTGTTAGGATTTGAAAGATCAGACAAGCCAAATATCATCTACTCTGAACTTTTGTGGGCTAAAATGTTGAGAGATTTTATCGCTAATGTTGTGGGAGAACCAGTCCACCTTGTTAGCAACTCAATTGGTGGTATGTTTTTAGATAAATTCACACCTTTTGGCCATATGCTGTCAACTTCCACCCATGTATACTACTTTTGTCTCTCTTTTAAATCAATTGCACCAGTCTATTCTAATTTTTGTTGATGGGTTGATTTCTTCGATGTTCCTGTGTTCTGTCCAGGTTATTTGACTGCTATTGTTGCTCGAAGTTGGCATGCCTTGATCAAATCTGTTGTCCTGATTAATAGTGCGGGCAATATCATTCCAGGATATAAATCAGTACCACTCTCTAAAGTATGCATCTTTGAGAATGAGTGAAATTCCATATTAATACATGTAAAATATAAAATGGTACTTTGTTTAATGATTTTGTTAAAAAAATCTTACAACTGATTCTTCTAGCTATGGTTAAATCATCCTTTTTCAAGGCGTTATTTACTCATCACAAATGTACCTTTGTTATACAAATTACTAGAAAAAAGCACCATTGTTATGCACCTCAATTTTCTTATTGTAAATATGATTTCATAGAGAATAAACATTTTCATAAAAGAATATCTTAATCCACTATGATAGTGATTGATTTCTTAATTTTTCAAACCTACACATCTTATCGAGATTTGGAAAGGGCAAAAAAAAAACTGCAATGAAAGAACAAGGTGAAGTGATGAATTTCATTATAGCTGTGTAGTTTTCTTGAATATGTAGAACCTGTTGAAAGTGCAATATGTGGAACCACTCGAACGTGCTTTATATAACTGTAAATTGGTCCTAAAATTGGTTTTTTATTGATTAACATTGTCCCTGATTATCATTGAATGTGAGCTTTACATCAAGCTCTGCTGCGTTTTTAATCTATCTCCAAACTGCTCTTCATCTCTGGCTCTACAATGTTGATATTAACTGCATTGAATAGCATGATTGTTGGATTAATAAATTTAGAAGCAATTTGTAAGTGATTACTAAATTTTCAGGATAGACAAACTTCAGGGGCTTCCTAGTTGGGTTCTCGCCTTCTATTGTTCTTCCTGAGGCTAAGAATTAAAGACCTAGTTAAGAAGTATTATCCAACTGTAAGCATGCTTTTGTTATGATTTTCTAAATTTGGTATATTGGTTTTCTTTGTTGGTCTTGTTGATGATGCTTGATTCTCTGGCATTTTATTTTGCAGAGGCTGGAGAGAGTCGATGATTGGCTCATAAATGAAATGCTAAGAGCAGTATCCTTTACTTCTAAAATTTTCTTGTTTCCTTTTTTCCCTTTTGGTTAGTTTTGATAACCTTATAATGTGCATGTCTATATCTGTTATCCGTGACATGTTTGCTAGTCATTTGACCCTGGCGTCCCTATGGTCCTAGAAAGTATCTTCAGTTTCAATCTTTCCATCCCTCTTAACTATCTTCTTGAAGATGTTAAGGAGAAGGCTCTAATTATACAGGTATTCTGACAATGAGATGTTATTTCGGCCATAACTTGAAAAATGAAGTTAGGGGAGGCTTAAATACACTTTTGTTTTTGCTAACTTGTTAAATGTTTCTATTAATTTTCCTTATTAAAAAAATGTTGTTTTCAATTTCTTTTATATTGTCATTACTGATGAAAATTTAATGATGAACTTTATGATTTGTTGACTTGTAATTTATTTACTTGACTTCGCCAAGTCACAAGTCGGGAAGGAAATATGACAAAGGGATAAAATTGGATCATTTCATAAAGAAGTCAAGATGGGTTGCTTTTGAACTGTAGGGAAAACTATTAAGGTCTGGCAGCAAAAATGCACACGATAAAATATTATGATATATTATAAATTTATTGATGGAGACATGGTAGTGTGGGATATTAAGTCTTACATTAAGTAGTATGGGATGCTCAATGGAGTATTTAAGCAGGTTAGTTTATTTTTTTCTGTAGGGTCATCCCACTCATACTACCATCATTTATCTTGTGAGATGTTTCTTTATTGTTAGGGCATGAAAGATCCACTTTCCGACTCTAGTTCCAAGGTGGCGATGCTCAAAGAACATTGTGATTGAGTTATAATTAGGGAACTAAATGCTGGTAAGTGCCATCTTAAACATCAAATGCTTTTAACTAAAATTCCATATTCTCACCTATGTTTCTGACCGCCTAACTTACATGACATTACCGGCCATTGTCCTCACGATGAGGTGCCAGAACAGGTGAATCCTATCATTTGTGAGTGGATACTACATATGGAAAGTAAAATTTTAGCAAACTGCCCATTGTAGTATCCACTTGCGGGCCCATTAGCTGTATATATATTATTATTTATTACTGGAAGATTCTTGTGTAGATTTGGTGTTGATGCACCAAGCCTTTTGTAGAAAAGTTGGCTCTTGATGTTAGTATTGTCGGAACATCATTCTTCAACGAAATCCATTCAACAAGTTTATTTTTTTTTTTTTTCCTTTTCTTTTCTTCCGTTCTTTTTTAGTTCATTTTTTCTCTTATTCTTTCATTACTTTTTCCATAAACTAGAGCAAAAGGGGGAAAAACTGCCGCTAGTTTAAATGATTTATCATGCCTTTTTTTCCCCCTAGGCATATGTATTTTTCTTCTAGTGGTAATTCTATTCGAGATACTAAATATAGGAGCCTTTTCCAGTATAGATTTGAATATTGATTCATCATGTTATTAGAAACTAGCTTTTTCTACTAGACCTAACTCCCATTGATAATGCATAGTTATGCGCTTTTAAAACATTAAAAGAGGGATTAAGTGTCATCAACATTAACTCTGAACCACCCTACCCTGTGGAGCCATCTTCAAATCTTGCTTTAACTGTTGCCTATGCTGTCTATTGTAGTTTTTTCTTTGATTGTGAAGAACATGAAGAAGATTTCATGTACTTGGCTGTCTGTTAACAAAACCCCAGTTTATTAAACTTAAATTTTTGAAAATAATAAAGTAAAATGAAGGGCTGTACACTGCTTTGACTTTTAAATTCATTACTTTGATAATGGGGGAACCATTATGTTACCTCTAATTTTGAGGTTTCATTGCACCTGCACAGCCTCATGTTTGTTTGAAGCATTATAGGCTCTAATATAGATATTTCTATTTATAAGGATTCAAACCTTAATTTGTCATGTTGTAAGAGGTTAAGGGAGTGTTTGGCAAACCTAAAAAAAGTGAAACCATGGTTTCAAAAAATTAAGGGGTGTTTGAATTTTTGGGGCTAAGTCTTGGTTTGGTTCTAAAAGTGTTTTTTTAAGGTTTGCCAAACACTCCTTAAGCTCTTACAACACAACAAATTAAGATTTTGTGTCATAAGACCATAGTTTGCCCATCAAAACTATGGTTTGTCATAAGTGAAATTTTTTTGCTTTTTGAACGAATATGGATGTCGTTGTCGGCAAAAGTTTTTGCCCCATCATTGTCATCTTTGCGCACTCACCTTTCTCCTCCCTGATTCTTTTTCTTTTTTTTTGATCGGTTTCTCCCTCCCCCACTTAAAATAACATTTTTCTGTTGAAAAAAAATTATTTATTTTTTAAAAAACTATTTAATTTTATATTTATAAATATATATACACATATTAACAATTAATTAATATTTTTTATGAATTATTTATTATGTTGGCAAAAAAAATTAACAAATTTATTATTTCAGTCCTTAATGTAAGATCTAATTGGGGAGTTAATATTGGTCCTGAATGTAGGATCTATTTTATATGATTGTTTATTTTTTAAATTAACTCTGTTAATGTTTCCTTAATAATAATCAAATAGAGAGGGAGGAAGAAAATTAAAAAAGATGCTTAGGGTATCTTAAAAAAATATTATATTAACTAATTTAACTAACATTCTTAATCTACTCAAATTAATCAATTAGATCTTACATTAAGGAAAGTAGAAGAACTTCAAATTAAAATATATTTTTATGTAATTATCATATTAATTTATGTCCTTTTTAATAATTTGTGTATGAAAAAAAAAATGTTTCTGATAATAATTATCTAAACACTCTCTCTTTATTAAAATCACTTTTTTCACAAAATCTATTCTTTCAAAATCTATTCTCAAAATCATTTTTTTTTCAAAAGTTATTCTCTAAATCATACTTTGAATTTATCCAAAAATACTCCTTAACGAAAGAGTCAAGCCTTCCTGGAGCTCCCAAATGTCATAGGACACAAATTGTTAGCCCAATATTTACTATTGGGTTCATAGATTTCAAAAAAAGCATTTCTCCTCGTCCTCTTTCATTGACACCACGACCCACGAAGGAAAATCAATCCTCACAAGCGCAGAAACCATGGGTTTTATACCCTCGTTTTGCAAGACGCGAATAGTGAGGTGAGATTTCATGGATCTCATCAGTGATCATGTTTACTTTCTTTTCCTTCTGGATGCGTATGTTATGCTGGATAATGAACACATTTTTGATGCTCACGGAATATTTACTTCCCTAAGAACTTTTTAGTCCTGTTGTTTGTAACTTTTTCCCCCCAAAAAAAACGTCAAAGGGTCATGATATGAGAAGAAAAAATCCGTGTCATCCCTAGTCAACATGACGGGACTGGATATGAGGGTGGCCCGATCTGTCCTGTGAATACTACGATTAAAAAATCAAACCCAATTAAGAAGATAAGGCATATTACATAAATGAGCAAACCATGTGGGTCGCATAAGTAAATGAACGTTTAAAAACAATTATTTATTTCTATCCAAAATGTAAGACTCATTTTGTATACATTACAAAATGAGTTTTACACTTAGAACTAGAGTAACATGAGATGTCCTCTTCCTCTGCCTTTTTTCATTTTCAAAATATCATATCCATTTTTTATTTTTAAAAAAACAAAGAGAGAATTTCAATAAACCCTTCTCAGTAGTTAATTAATATCAATCAACCCTCAAAAAATATTCTGAAATTTCACTGCATCCCCTTAACCAAAATTTTTGTGTGAAAAGACAACAATAACCTTACTTTATTTGAGATGCAAATTGCTGATTTTGTGTTGCAAATCAGTGAGTTTTTATTACAAATAATCAAATTTAAGTTGTAAACTAGAAATTTCTTCCCCATGAGATGCACGGACTAAAATATTTAATTAATTTTAAATTCTAATAAATTGTATTATTTAAGATAGCTCAAGATTTATTTTTTATAGAAGTGTGCTTTTTTTTATTCCGTCATATTGTACTTGAATTAAAGATGTGAAATTTAGGGGAAACATTTGAAAATTAAAATTAATTATTTATCTCTCTATTTAAACCCCAATTGACATATTATTTATGATACTTCTCATTTAATTTAATTATATTCAAATCCCAATTAAGATATTATTAAATTCAATATTATTAATTTCTTCATTTGAGCCTCCATTAAAATCTAATTTAATAATGATACTCCTCATTTAATTCATATACCCAAATCCAATCAAAATATTATTCAGATCTTATTATTAATTGAATATATTTGGATCGTATAATATCATACCCGACCCGTTTTAAGCGAATCGGGTATTACAAGTTTTTAAGAATATAATTGATGATGATTGATTGATTCTTGTAAATTTTATGGGTGAATGAATGAACAACTCAAATTTGACGATTTACTGAAATTTTCTTTTAAAAATAGATTATTGAGATTTAATATTTTTGTATATAAATATAAATAATAAATTTGAACTGTTGAAATTTAAATTTATACAATTCATAACTGTTTGAAAAATAAGTAGCGTCAGCAGCATAATAATTATAATAATGAATATTCTTTATGTTGCGGAAAAGTTTGATGTCACTTTGTGAGCTGATTCCATGTTTCAATTAAGATTGTCATTTTGTGAAACAAATCCTAGATAATGTCTTCAATTGCTCATTATGCCATTGATTAAGTTTTAGAGCGCGTGATCCAACAGTGCATAAAACAGTCCAAACAAAATAAAATCACTTGATTTTATTTTATATTTAAAAGCTAAACAAAATAATTATGACAACCTTCAGTTCAATGATAAAAATGATTTTTTTTATTTGAAAATAATAGTGTTAATTAATTAGATTTTAATTAACTATATTAATGTACATCCATCACATCGTGTTGACTAGTTGCCGTAGATATTAAGCTTGCAAGAAATTATATTATTTGAAGTTAAGAAATCGATTTATCTGGAGGATAAATAATTACCTCGATATTCTTAAATTTTGTTAAAATTTAAAAAACATTTTCAATTCTGTATTAGTGTTGTATAAGAGACATTAACAACTTATCTGAAATTTTGATTATCATCTTCTATTTTTTTTCCTACTAATTATTTATTAGTTCTGCTGCATTTTTTCTCCCACGCACCTCTTTTTCCATGTGTCCATTATTATCTATCCATAAATAAGATATTTTAAGAAAAATAAATTGTATGTTTTATATATTTATTATCTTAAACCAAATTTAACTAGTTTTTTATCTACGTAATTGGGTTATTTATATATTATAAAAATATTGGAAGGAATAGTATATTATATATATGTCTCAAATCTTAGTGATGAATCCCTATACAGAAATTAAGAGAAAAATAGTAACCTATCTTATTTATATTATTGTGAAAAAAAATCAACATAAAAAAGGAAATTTGAAGATGCAAATTTAATTTCTTTTTCTCCTCTGGCTGAGGAGCTTCCTTGATTGGGGCAATTTCCCAAAACTTCACTTTGTTTTCATTACATGCTACCTTCTTTTTTGTACCGCTTTCTCTACTTTAGAAGCTCTAAATCATTTGCTTGTCTATTCTCTCATCAAATATTTTTGTTAAAAATAAATAAATAAATGAAGAAATAAAAATGGTGCTGCTTTTTTCTTACATGTCTTGGTGTTAAAGCATCTTTTTTCAACAATAGCTGTATGATAAAACATGGCATGCAATGATAAATATGGGACCCTCTAATCTTATGTTATCTTATTATGTATTTTAGTTCCACTTAATTTAGATTATTTGTTGCCCACAGATCTAAGTTTCATCTTTTGTTTCATTTTTAAAATTCAAATTTGAAAGGCTATATGTGCTCCACAACAT